TTTCATTTAATTGTTTATTAAACAAAAACAACATGTTTTCTTTACAATATATCAATAGATGAGATCAAAGGAGAATTTGAATTACACTCTAAATGCACCAATATCAACAAGCGGTCAACCAGTCATTCCAATTCGATAACATCATCAAAGCATTCCATTCATTGAAAAAAATGAAAAAGACCTCCAAAAATACAACTTTGCAAATTTCTACAACACCATTAAAAGCGCGAATACACACGTTTTACAAACGCAAAAAAAAGAATCGTTTGTTTAAAGAATGGAAAACTCATGGTGATGATTGGTCATTAAATTAACACTTTTTTATAATTTGAATAATGATTAAATTGAAAATAAATGTATAATATCTCAAATAAATTGTGCCTAAAATTTTTGTAAATAAATCTAAAGTTCGAAAAATGTACCTATTTACCGTAAATATACCTAATGTTTTGGTAATTCAACCTATTTTTATTATAATAATACCTCGAATAATAATAATAAAATCTAATTTAACAAAAATATTACCTCATTATGGTAATTATTCCTAATTGGCAAAAATTATATCTAATTTATTATAATCAATCTATTTTATTAAAAAAACATCCTTTTTAACAAAAAATCTAACTAATATTATAAAAAAATGACTAATTCAGTCGAAAAAACATCCTTTTTAAACAAACTCCAACTGTATAAAAAGAAAAAATTTTTAACTTGAAAATAATAACAGGAAAAGTCGTCAAGTTTTCCTCACAGAAAAAGTGAACCTTTTTTCAACAAAAATACGATTTTAGGTCAAAAGTTACTATTAATTTGTAGTAAATTTAATTATTTTTAACTATTAATTTTGTTTTCTGGTATTTCCCATGGTTGTAAAAAGTTTAAAGCGTTTTTGCATTATTTCTTTCTAATATACACTCAAAATGAATAAGATATAAATAAGTTTACATTTTTTGGAAATTTTTGGTACCGGAAGGGTTAATATCTTTATAATATCAAATTTGTTGTTATAAGTTAATTGTTTCAAAATGTTCTATTTAAGTTTTTTATTGTTGAATTGTGTTGTATTTATTAATTAAATAATCAAATGATTGGTTTGATAACTTTCAAATTTGCTATCTTTATACTTACTAAATGATCGTTTTCAATTCCAAAAACAAAAATCAAGTGGTCACAATTGACTGTTTATGGGGTTACACAACCACAACAAAACCATGTTATTTATCCGAAACGTCAATTTTATCAACTTGAATATCAAAAATTTCAACCATTGTTTCGTTTTACAAATATTTTTAATTGATTATTTTTTGTTTTTAATTAATGTTTTTGAAATAATATAAAATGTTTTTTTAATTTATAACAATAAATATTATATTTTACTATAATTTGCTAAAGCTGACTTTTTCCACCAACTTTTTGTTATTTTGGTTGTAATTTTTGTTCTGTTTTGCCTATAAGTTTTTATTTAAAAAAATAAATGCACAAAACGATTTTTTGGTATAAAAAATAAAAATAATTCCATTATTATATTTTTATATTTTTATATTTTTATTTATTTTTTCGGAAAAATAACCTAATATTAATTCAAAATTATTTAAACAGTTTTAGGATAAAATTTTAAAAAACTGTTAAAAAGAGCAGTATTGGGTTGTTGGCGAGATAAAACTACCATACCATAAAAACAAAAATAATATTTTTTTTAGTAAAGCAAAAAAAATAAAATAATTTTTGTTTAAACTTAAAAATATACACAAATTTTTAATTTCAATAAATATCAATAAAATGACAAAATACAATGGTAAAAAGAGACACAATGGCGTTGTATTGATTATTTTTAATTGGAAGAATAGACTGCACAATTCAAATTTAGTATTGTTGAATTCTATTTTCTTTAAAAAATAGAAAGAAAACAAGTTGTGTGCCTTGAATATGATATCAAACCTTAAAAGAAGTCAAAAACATGGCATATAAAGATGCATTTTCTTGTGTTTAACATAACACAAATAGTTTATCGTGTCATTTTTAATAAAAATACGAAAATCAAAAATAGAAAAAATTAATATTTAAAGCAAGAATTTAATGATCTAACACATCAAATTTAAAGTATGACAACTGAAAATCACTTGACCGTTTCTTTTAGCTATATATGACCATATGGAATATATTTAACAATTCAAGCCCATATATTAAAAGCTTGAAAATATTACCAATATATGCAAATATATTTAAACAATGAAAAGTTGTTATTAAAAGCAAATTAAAATATCAACTACACTGAAAATGTAACAAACATACGAATGACAAATTACAGAAAACAAATTCGTTCAATATGGTATGATTAATGTGTGTTTAATTAGCTATCTCTTTGAGATAACAACAAAAGAAAATAAAATCGTATTTATAAAACACAACATTGAAGGCGTCGCTTGCAAATCAATAACAAAAACTATTCAAAAATATTTTCGGCATTTCATCATTATTAATACCAATTAAGCGCCTTCCTCTTTTGGTCAGTAAAACATTGTTATAATGAAAACACATGTTGTTTCTTTTTTATTGAACGATAAACATATTAATCACGTAGAATACAAGCATCCAATGATAGGCCGGCTCATGATGAGTCGGCAAATCATGTATATGAAAATATACATGTTTTTTTATCATCACAACATTGACCTTCACAAAAAACATCAAAGTAATGGAAGAGTGTCTTCTGTTAATTTTAAACAATCGCGTACAAATTTGAAAAAGTTATCGAATGAATGTGGTCAAAGCGGAAATGAAAGTCTCCAGATTCAATGAAGATATATCAGTGAATATATCGCCAATGGTCTCATTCGACGCATTTAATCAGAAGTTTTGAAAATATGAGAAAGTCGTTGAACAAGTTCAAATGACTTTGACATTGCGGATGTTGTGTGATATTGTGGAACGATATCCCTTGATGAAATGGTGTATGTTGATGTTGCTGGAAGGTTTGGTTTTAAAAACACAGTTGAGCCATTCACTAAGACCTTTATTGAGTTTTCAAATACCGTCAACATCCAAAATGTGTTTGTCACATCAAACTTTTTGCCGGAACAAGAGATGAAATTTTCATTAAAGAAATTGAAGTTTTTATATCCTTTACAACAGATGCAATATACTTTGTGTATACTAATATCATTAATGATATCACAACATTGACCTTTTATCAATGTTGTGACTACCTTTTAAATAGTCTATTTATTTAAATGACTATTTTATCCATATTCTGATTTGATTTTTTTATTAGTTAAACAAACTATTAATTTAATTAAAAAATTTTAGCCAATTAATTTTTAATTGGCTAACAATTAAAACGTCAAACTGAAACCTGAAAAAACTCAAATATCTTCCGAATCCGTCAAAATCTCGATTTCCTTATCCCCAACCTCTGGTATTCCTGCAATGACTTCCAACGATTTTGGGCAGTTAATAGCCTCAAGAACCATATCGCTCCCTCTCTGTTTGTATTCCTCCACAATCTTCTTTGAGCACGCAATGCACTTCGAATAAGCACACCCAACACCTTCCTCTATATTCCACGTATTCAAGAATCCTCTGAGTTGATGTGGGATGTGTCCATTCCCTGAACTTGGTGCCTTATTTTTGAGTGGGTGGTGTAATATACCGACCATCATTTCTACAGCCATAGCCGCAGCAACATACGATATACCAGGTCGAGTGACTGTACACTGTTGGTCCAAAGTTCTACGTGACAACGAGTCTGTTGGCGCAACAATGTCTGCGCAGAAGTAACACGACGGGCGCTTCTCTTCAATTTCTTGGTCTCCATGTCGCATCACAACAAAGGAGTCGAACCCAAGTCCAACAGTGATACACAACTTGTTGTACACAGAACTTAACATGGACGGCAACCATCGACACTCTCTTGAATCTCCAAGTAAAAACACCACATCATTCTCTTGAACTAACTTGTCTAAGCTCTGTATATCTTTTCGAGTACCCTCAATTTCTTTTTCTCCAATAGGGTGTCCAGGCATTGGTATCGACATCACAACTCCCCGACTCTGCATCCCCGGAAACACTTCTTTCAAACTCTCTGCTGCTCGTTCGGACTTGTATCGCTTTTGTACGCAGTCGTTGAAGTTATACAAACTCTGTCTGACGGGATTTGAATATGAAATAGTGCCATTGTCGACAAACGTAATGTACTGCACACCCCATCCCATTAACACTCGCGAGACATTACACCCCAGTGTCCCAGCTCCAATCAACAAACACTTTGTCTGTTTTAACATCTCCAAATCAAGGGATTTGAATAATTGCCACTTCATCAATTGAAGATTTAACTCGACGGCTTGTGTCGCTAACATCTCGGGATTCATTGACTCTGCCAAATGATGTACTTGTGGGACTATTTTACCAGTTGACTTCACTGTGAACCACCCAGACATCCCGTCGAGGGGGAGTTCTTTGTGGACGACCTTAATTGTGAATGAGTGAGTCGGACGGATACAATGGATCGTTGTGAATTGTTGGTGTATTAAAGTTCTTGCCGTCCATCCTGGCGTATGTTTCATAGAAGACAAATCGAGTATATAAGCCTCTGTATCATCTGTGGTAAGTGCCTCGAAGTGACTGTTCAACGCAATTGAGCTCTTCATCTTCTCTTGGATGTTCTTCGCATCTTCATCAGTGATATCGACATACGTTGCTTCAACCAAATGTTGTTTAGGCACAGGACAACCTCCGATAAAATGGAAGTCGTACTTCTTCAAGTCTCCGTAAGTGATTAAAACGAACTTTGCCAAGAACACTTCTGTCTTTGTTGTACTCCACGGCGCACTTCTCTGAAAATGTGTTGAAGATCTCTTTTCTGGTTGCGTCCTTGAAAGCGATGTA